TCAGTATCATCTCCCCCCCTTGATTCCTCTTCCTGCCCGCACCCCCAAGCCTCACTCCAACAACCTCCCTAGCCACCACTTTCGTCCCTTCCCCGTAGCCGGAAGATGCTCTAGAACCAAACCTATCCAGCAAAGAAGCGCAAAATACCGTTCCAGGGACCGTTCCACACAGAGACAGGCGCTCACCACTCTGAGCAGGGTCGACAAGGCAGAGAGGAACAAGCTCCTCATCGGCTTGGGCGCTTCCAGCTGCTGGTGCTGCATCAGCCGCACGTGCGACCGGAAGGCCTCCATCACCCGGATGGTCTCCTCCCAGCGCTCGCTCCTGTTGAGCGCGTGCAGCGCGGCGTTGTAGCAGTTCTGGTCCGGGTGAGGCTGCCCTCGCTCCACCAGCTTGAAGAAGAACTCCAGTGCCTGCTCCCACTCGTTCGCCCACGCCAGCACCATGAGGTACTGGTGGCACAAGTCCATGCTCGTCGGCAGAAGGCCGGCACCCCCCCCCTCCGGGTCTTCGTCTTCAACGTAGAGCTGTATGACACGGTTCGCAACCGCTGACGCGCCCTGTGTCGGACAAAACAAAGTGCGCGCGTGGGGTGTGTGTGCGTGAGTTGCGGCGAGAGGAGAAGACACTGCTGTCGCTGAAACTCGGGGCCAGATTTGAAGTCGGCTCCCCGGCAACGGAGGGAAACGATGTCGAGAAAACGGGCTCAGGCTCGCATGAGAAAAACAAGAAATTGTCGACAAACACAGCTGAGCGGTGGCGGTTGGTCCTACACTACATCCTACAACGCAATAGCTGAACTTGACGGCGGAGATGAAACAAGAGACTCGAGCCCCGGCCTCGAGTTGTTGTTGTACCTTGTAGACTGTGGATCACCACCATCGGCGTTGGTTGGTTTTCGTAACAGTGTTGGCGTGCTTCCGTACAACAACCCAGCTCGTTACCACCGTCGCAACCGCGGTCGCTACGGTGATATCTGAAGCTAATCGCCCCGAGAAAAACGCCATGCGGATGGAACCCCCCTCCCGACCAATAGACAAATTTTGATGAGAACATCGCCTCCTTACAGGAACCAGAACAAGATCACGGCGCAGGCTTGGACTCGCGAGGCTACCGATTTCGTCGGATTGATGGAACGGACAGCAGTCGGAATCCCATTCGATCTGCTTTATTTTCGCCAGGTCGAGGGCCGTTTATCCACTCTTTTGTTCTCTCTTGATGCATCCTTTTGGGCACACGGGTGGGTGTATTGCTAGCGCTAGAATGGGCAGGCAAAAACTCCGCAACATAAGTACGTGCTACCTACTTTCAATGATACACACGTATCGGTCGGATTTCGCACAATAACCCCGGTCGCCAACCCTCCATCACAATCACACCCAAATGCACGAAACCGACCATGCACAGACAGCAGCCTTGCGGCGTTCATGCACCGTACAAGCATGCAGAACGTTTTCGGTCAAACCCAGCAACGGACGTGCTTCCATATCAAAACACTTGCCAGCTCCTCCTCAGCACAAACACCTCTCATCCCTCGTCAGGCAAGCTTTAGCTTTTCTCGAACATCCACCCTGGTCCCCTACGGTGACAAGCATAGAGAACAACGAAGGTCTTCCGCAAAACTCACCTTTAGCACACATGGCATCACACGCGGCAATGATGCCCAGGACACAAAAATATTCAACAATAACCTACCTACCTACCCGTGGAGCCGTGTACCCCCCCCCCCCCCTTTGAATATCACTGGTCACGACTCCCCCAACCCGCACACACAGACGAACAGTACTAGCGTCACCTTTCTCAACAGTCGGACGTCCAAGCGGGCCCAAGTCATTCTCGTTCACCATACTCTGAATCCATTTGTTAGGTGGGAGATGCATGCGACTTTCTACCATCACGGTGCACCCCCCCACCCCCTCTCGCGCTTGGAGCGCGCTTACCTCGGTCCCTCTGATAGTTTCCAAGAGAGTTTTGTACGCCCGTTCCGTCGGCAACCAGCCCGACTCCTTCATCTCCAAAATCACCTCCATTGCGGCATCCCTGATGGGTGGTAAGATTAAGATTCATACCCCAGAAAGAGAGAACATTAGTGACGAGAGGGCGGAGAGGCAGCAAGGGAGAGCGCAGTACATGTGTGCTAATCTACTCCACAACTTTCCTACTTCGGGTGAATCACGAACGAAGGACAAAAACATGTTGTCCCAGTCAGAAGAATGCGTCATCGGCATACATGCATTTACTCATCCTCATCCTCGCTCTCGGATCCCGGGGCACGAACACTCCTCTCCGCTTACACTCCTCCTGCGGCGACAACACCTGTGCTGCCTACAGCCGTCTTTGGCAACCTACGTACAAGTGATGTGACGCAATGTTCTCCGCCTAGACCTGAACGTATTCCTCTCTCTCACGTGCTACTGGCACAGGGGATGGTATGCTTAGAAAGCGAGACGCCTTTGGCTCTCGGGGGCAGGGGGGTGAGGGGGGCATTGGTCATACGCGGTCTTGGACCCTCCGAGAGATAACATTCCTCACGCTTGGACGACGGTACCCTGAGTGCTCCAAGCTGTGTAAAATTCAGCAACCGACAAGTATACCAACAGTTGGACTTGAGTTGTGGGGTGATTGCGCAAGGTCCGTCAGCGCTGAAACGCGAGGAAACAAACTGAACGGGAGCCTTCACGTAAACCCGAGTACCATTTGCCATCAGGATCATCACCTGTCCTCATCTGGGACAATATAACAAGGCGCGAGCACTGTAATGCTACCCCCCCCCCCCTCAACTTCGATCTTCTCACCCTTGTTTGAGCTGGCTGTGGGCAATGGACGCCGCCTCGAAAGCTTGCCTGTTAGGAGGGCTTTCCTTGAAGGTCTTCAACTTTATTGTGGCATTGTCGGAGCCAGGAGAACGATACACCCATCGACAAGCAGAAGCCGTGACGGCAGCGGTAAGAGTAGTTGACAGTTAGCAAAGCCAACGAACGGTGATAAAAACGAAACGGTATTGGAACTGTTGATAGACAGAAACAGGCAGTGGGAGTGGCAGACTGCACTTGGAGAAGTTCAAACGACCCACGGTCCTAGGAGACGGCTCAGACCTCAGACACACCTAGCTGCGGTAGAGTACGTCGATGGAACGGGAACAAGTAGGCAGGTAGCACCAAAACGGCACGGAGAACATTGCAGGAACAAGATGTAGCCATGGCAAAAAGCGGAGCAGAAAATCAAATACCCCTTTGCGGGCTGACTTAATCCCAACGTCAGCAGTCTTGACAGCTTCGCCGACTACGGCCGTTCTCTCTCTATGTCTCTCTCTCTATGTGTGTGTGTGTCTCTCTCTGTCTCTGTCTCTCTCTCTGTCTCTCTCTCGATGTCTCTTTCCCCGTCTCTTTCTGTTGTTGTTTTCGGCTATTCTTGCATAGATGCAGCAGCACGTGATCAAATACCTCGCTGAAGAGCGCAATAACTTTCTCCGGTTGTCCGAAGTCGAGGCACGTCCTCATCCCGAGGCTGTAGATGAACGTCAGCCCGAGACCCCTCTCCCCGTGCTCCTCCTTCACCTTGTCCAACATCTGCATCACCTCCATGCACTTCTCTTCCTTCATCGGGTCCTTCTTCTTCATCTTGCTGTGCCGAATCTCTTGGATCCTCTCCGCCATGGGAAGGACTCTGCAACAACAACAGCGTGTGTGCAATCGTCGTCTGGTCTCGCGGAACACATGCGTACTAACGCGGGGTGCACTTTTGCAGGGGCAACACTCGAGGGACGGGGGTGCACATGCCGGCGCACACACTAAACCCTTATTAATAGCTGTAGTTTGTACACCCGCGCGCAAGCCGGGCGGTCATCGCCTACCATGCATCGCTACTGGAATACATTCTGCGTCGCACCCCTTTGAAGGCCGGAAAGCAGGGACCGGAGGATGTCGGGTTTTCTTGTACCGACTTAAGGAGGATTTTTTCACACACGCGACACCAAGTACGAAGCCCCTGTGGGGCGATAGATTAGTGTTAGATGAACCGCGCGAGGGTCGAGCTGTGTCCCAACTGCAGACAGCGGCAACCTTGTGGATACCGACGATGTGTTTTCCGAGGGCGAGCCCGACAACTCTAGCTCCACAGACTGACACCTTCACATCATCGTGTGACTACACCGTACAGAAACGGTGGGAGACATGGAATCGCTTGGCTCGAGGACCCCAATTCCACCACCACGTAGTTAAAAGCATGACGCTCGCGCTCGTGGCGCGCCCAGGCGTTGGCGGATTGGTCCCAGTGTTCTCTGCTGTACATAGCTACTTCGGTGGAGCCGTGTAGCTGCAACAGTAGCGACGAAATGCCGAGTTTCCACGGAGCACACCGCAAGGTACTCTAAGGCGCCATTGCCATTGGTCCAAGAATCGCAGGACACCACCATTGGGATGATAACCTTGCACCCTCTCCTACACAACATGGCGGCGGATGGCGCACTCGTTTCCGGTGAATCGTGTGCCCGCAACATGTTCAGTTCTCCGCCAAGCACACACGCCTCTCTCGTGACGTTGCGCACAAACACGGGAAGGCGGGGCACTCACAACTACTCGCCATCAGTAACCTTTACCTTTGACGCACTGGGGCGTTTAGCTGCGACACAAGGCAAAACTCTCCCTCTCGAGGGTGCGAAGAGCCGCCACACATGGCGTTCATGATCCCACGCTGGCGGAGTGATGCGTACCTGGCTTTGGAACGTGAAAGAAGAGCATAATCATGTATGAACACACGATTTTTTCCACACTCACGAGACACAGACACACGCGACATACCTCCACTCCTCTGACTGGCTCCTCGTCAGCGGGGGCACGCGCCCTTGCCGCCTCGAGAACTTTCGCCCAGCAGACTTCTTGCGCGGCTCCGACAGCAACTCTTGCTCAGCTCCCTCCTCCTCCCCCTCCTCCTCCTCTTCCATCTGATGCTGCGGTGGGAGCGCCACATGATCTACTACATGTTCCTGACCTGCAGCTCCCTCCAGCAACATGCTACTGCTGCTGCCGCCCACCCCATGCGCCGTCTTCTCCACGCCCAGCAACTCGATCGCCTCGAGACCCCCTCCCCCGCCGCCTTCCAGGTCATTCAGGAGGTCGAACAGCTTGTTCCTTCCGCCGTTGGCAGTGACCGGCTTGCGCTTACGTCGCTTGCTTCGATCCTCCTCGTCTGTCCCCGATGGAGTGCTCGCTCCTCCTGCCCCGGCTGCCTCGATCTCATCAGCAGCAGCGCCTTCGCCATCTTCCCACGGCGCATCCCCCAGCTGCTGCGTGTCGCCCCCGCCGTTCTCTTGCACCTGGAGCGTAGAGGCGGACTCGGTCCGGCTACATGCTATCGTTGCGCCGGACACACGGCGGCAGCTGCTACGCGACGCTAAAACACGTGCTGCTGGTCTCCTTTGTTGCCAGCCGGCCGTGGCGGCCTCCGCGGGTGGTGCCGCCACACACGTATGTGTTGCAGTTTTTTCTGCCTTGTTGCCGCTGGGCGAGGACCTCCACGCGTTGCCGGCGAACCCATCCGTGCAAACCCAGCTCTGCAAGCTCACGCCACACGCCAGGAGTGTGCATGCTCTGCTCATACGATCTGGTCTGCGCCGTCGGTACGTGTGTCGTGGGATCACACCACCTCGTTCCTGGTGCTGTCGATTTTGCTGCTCCTCACTGCTACCGCTGCGCTCAACTACAGCGGATCGGCCGCCTTGATCTGCTCCCGATCGACCGCCTCGATCAAGGCCCATAGCTCCACGCTTCTCTCGCTCTACGCAGGCCTATCTCTGAGTCTCTGCTATCACTGTCTCTGTCTCTCCCCCACGGCGTACCGGGCTGTGGCGAACCTGCTGCTCGTCGGCGATTGTAAATTACAAACACGTTGAATTTTTTGTGTCAAAGGCGGAGGCTCGGGGGAACTGTTGGTACCGCAGGAATATTGAAATCATTCACGGCGCCCCCATGCTAGAATTGGGTGCAGCGCAGGGAGGGAGCCAGGTGGAAGGACCGAGCGAGAGCTAGCTTGCGGGGGGGCTCAATTGTCAACGTCGTAGCAAGGGAAACGGAAGGAGAGGAAGGTCTTCTGCAGGATGGTGGACTTCGTGGATAAACAGGTGGACGAGCTGAAGAAGCTATGGCACAACAAGCGGCAGCTCGCTTTCCAGGGGCTGAACCTGGCCATGATCGTGCTCTCCGCTCTCATGATCTGGAAGTCGCTCATGGTGGTCACCAAGTCGGAGAGTCCCGTTGTCGTTGTGCTCAGGCAAGTCGTGTATTGCGTGGCGGACCTTGTCCACGTTTGAGTACAATTGGCGTTGCGTTTCAAGACTTGGAAGGCACAAGATGCTGCATATGGCATGGTACCCGGTGTGAGGCAACGCTGCGTGCGACGCCGGCCGCTCGCAGTCTTACCCGTAACTATGAAGTAGCACAGTCTGGTGCAGCGGCTGACCAGTAGCACAGAGATAAAGTGCATAACAGTAGCGGCGAACTAGCAGCACAGAGGTATTGTGTTGTATAGACACAGCAGTCGTTGGTGCCAAGATCATCCTGGTGGCTACAATGCATGTGAACGAACAAGGGCTAGCGAGGGGCGTCAACGCGTACATCAGTATTAGGAGATCACAGGCATCGCGGCCATGTGACCAAGCCCTTGTCTTTGTCTTTTATCCGCAGCGCCAACCCTAGTACCTTCGAGGCAAATAGTGCTGCGGACATATCTCTGCCTCATAATACTATTGTTATGTTGTTGTAGGCCCCAACGAAACGGTTTATTTGGGGGACGATCCAAGGTGCAGCGGGCAGATATCCACACCAAGGCGTAGTCTTGTGGGCCCAAGATTATTGCTGCGTTTTGTTTTCCGGTATGTTGAGAGCGTTGGGAGACAACGATCGGTTGGCCGCGGGTATATGACGTATCGACGGGAATTCGAGGCTGGACGTAAGATGAGTTGTGTGCTGTTCGCGCCGAGCGCCGGGCGGGGCAGCGTCGAAAATCGCAGTTAGAGGACACCACCGCAGTCGAGGAGATGAGCACGGAGACGGCAGAATGGGTAGCGAGATGCGTATGTGCCGGACTGATGATAGAGGCGGCAGAAATACTAGCCAGATGATACGTGTCCCAATACCTGTTGTGGCTGACCCCCCCCCCCTCCCCTGCCATTGCACCCTATGTGATCATGTTGTTTTTTAGACGTTGTGTTTGCATCTGTTTATGTTGTCCAGGAGTGATGCTGGAGTCACCCGCACCTGTTGGGCGCACGTGTGGGTAATGCCTCGCCCCGTGTAACCCCGGCTGCGAATATTCCTCGACCTAGAATTGTAGGGGTACAAACATAGGACCAGGCAACTCTTAGTATTGGTCCACCTTGATTGTGAGCTTTGTTTATTTTTGCATCGCGTACCCAGCAGGAGCCATGGACTCTCTTTCATTTTGTTTTGATGGGGCCTTCCTGTTCTATTCTTCTTCTCTTTTGCGGGTTCGCTCGTCTCCCGGTTAGCTCTGGTCATCTGCTATCGTGCTTGAGGATTTCTGGGCCCATTGTGTTTCCGTTCTTTTATCTCTACAAGTGTGTACCATTTTGGTAGTTGGCCTGTGACCTCCGAAAGCATCCGCGTCAGTGGGACTGTTATAGTACGGATGCTACAAGGTACTGAGCAGAGACCGGAACTGCTTAACCAGTGAAAACAACAAAAACAACAACAACAACAAGGAGGCGCGACAGCAGTCGTGCGGTATGCATCTGGAATAGAAGTGGGTATTTAGGATATAGAGGTGGGGACCGTTTTACTGTGTCGCCGTCTTGGCATCGCCGCCCTCCTCTTTCGAGATGGTACCATTTCCATGCCAAATTGCATATTAAGCTAGCCCAAAACAAGTTCTTGATGTGCGTCCGGTCTGCACCCCCGCGCCCGCTCCCGCCACTCGCTTTTTATCTCATTCGACCGATCCCGTAGCGGGTCCATGGAGCCGGCGTTTCAGCGTGGAGACATTCTCTTCCTCCACAACGGGGATGAACCTCTTCGGGCGGGCGAGGTGGTTGTCTTCAAGATTAAGGACAGGGAGATTCCGATCGTTCACAGGGTAATGAACGTGCACGAAAAGTGAGTTTCGGGAGCTACAAATGCATGCATTTTTTGTTGAAAGCGCATGAGTGGAAGAGTTTCTTGTTCCCTCCTCTAGCTTTGTCGCTATTATTGTTTACATTCATGGTGCTGGCTGTTGGTTTTGATCACGCTGTAGTGGTTTGTTCCCCGCGAGTGGATACATTACTGCTGTCGTGTTGCCATTTTATGCATACTCGCACCATGGGTAACCAAGTCCCTATGAACGTTTCGTCGTGGCTGACTTTCTCGTTGCACGACCGCGTTTTCTGTCCCCTCCCCCGCCTGTGTGCGTGTGCGTGCTGCTATGTTGTTACCGGTGTGTTTGCCGTCGGCGTGGTAGGCCTGACGGGTCGATATCAGTGCTAACGAAGGGAGACAGCAACAAGGTGCGTATCTCTCCGCTGCCGTTGTCTCGAAGGTTACTTGGCGAGAGGTTGGAGGCATTGCTACCAGTCACAAACCAAGGCATCGCACAGCGGGTCATCTGCTCCGATATGGGATCAGTCTTCCTACTGGGGGGCGTACTCATTGCCAAGCATGCCGCAGTCGTTAGACCATTGACCTCGCATGCCGAAAATACATAGCTGGGACGGTGCACGCCCGGGTCTACTTGGGGAGGGGGATTGGGGGCCCGTGGTACTTTTGCGGCTGTGGTTGTGGTCCCTTCTCTTCTGGATTGGACATCCGTGTGGCCACCTCGCTGCGTTGTGGCCCTCGCTTTGCCTCCCGCGTACCTTTCCTTCACCCGCTTGCCGCTCTTTGCGATCACGGCTGGGGTAGCATATCGCCCATGGTGCAGCACCGGGCGGCGTGTTCACTCGTGCTGTCGAATGCATGGTATGTAGTGATACTGCTGTGGTAGCACCGCTAAAGCCGAGGCACCGTTTAATTTACCCGTGTTGCTGTCTACTGGTACAGGTGAACGACCGGGGGTTGTATGTGCCGGGGCAGATGTGGCTCAGTCGGGAAGATATTCTGGGGAGGGCGCGGGGCACGCTTCGTTACGTGGGGATGGTGACCATCATCCTCAACGACTATCCACCGCTAAAGTGAGAACCGCATACGAGCCGTGCTTTGGTGCATGTCAACCGCCAACACGAAAGTTTTTTGGTTCGGTCGTGGCGCGTTTGGGACGTTTTCGCCGCTCTCACCGGGGGTGCTTGTTTCATTCTTGTTTGTCGTAAACAGCAAAGGCGCACGACACCAGGATCAGTCATTGGGTTGGCAGCAGCAGCAGAGCTCGCTTTGCAGGGAAGTTCTTAGTCCTGTTGTCTCTACGATACGAAGTTTCGTAGGCACATGGCCTCGTGATCAGATGTGTGTGAGCTGCTACAACCGTGAGGCAATGATAGCGTGATAGCCATGCAGCGACAGCAGCTGCTGCACCCGGAATCATCATCACATTGCCAAAATGCAGAGTGTATCATCCAACCCAACACGAATGTTCCAATTTGTGTGCTAAATACGCCTTGTTTGCTTCTCGCGCTGCTTGCGCGCTGACGCTCTCATCCACCTCTCCCTCGCACACCCCTGTCGCACGTGTGCCCATTTCCTGGAGTTTCTTTCCTTCGCCCACCTGGATTGCTTCTTGCGAAAAATGATCGGAAACCCCATGTGAAACCATGCTTAATTCAACACTTGATACTCGCGATGATTTCTCCTCCTCAGGTATGTGCTGGTCGGGCTAATGGGACTTTTCGTGCTGACCAATCGAGAAGCATGATGAAACGGGCACGCGCGTTGCCTGTCTGCCCCATTAGCCGACACGCGGAGAGAGGAGAGGGACGGAGAGAAAGAGAGAGCGGGGGGTTGGGAGAGAGACACGGGGCACGGGAATGATTGTGGCGGGCTTTTTCAAGGACATGCTCGTTGAACGTCTTATTTAGTCGGGGTTGAATGTCTACTAGATGCTGACAAGGGGACCAGTTGTACTGATGCAATGCAGTTTGCATGGCGCCCGTGAGACAAAAGCCCTGCGTGGGGCTGGTCCGCCCAGGGTCGGCTATTCATTTGAATAGCTGCAATTACTGGGCGTTGATGGGAACAAGTGTTTCGAGAGCAGAAACGGCGGGATGAGGTCTCCATGCGCCGGGAGGGTAAAGCTACGTGTCACATCTCTCATAATCTCTCAAAAGATTTTTGTCTGTAGGTCGACAACACCACGTTGTTTCTCGGCGCTTGGCTATTCGACAGCAGTCTCGACAAAGGTCTCGCGACAAGATTCATCACCGAGGAAACAAGGTGGAGAAACAATAAAAGTCTTGCGCAGCCTTCCTCCTTTTCTGCATGAACTTGGCTGATGCACCCAGGCAGTGTACCGAAACGTGTAAAGACTGGTGCCCAGAGTAAATTGGACGGCACACGCACACAACCGCATTACCGCATTTTGATGAGAGGTATTTTGTATTTTCCTTCGCAAAAGCGGTCGAAGCTACATGCTTGACACCTGTAGTCTATACAATTGACAAATAAAGACGTCAGCCTTGTTTCTTCGTCTCCAAGAGTAAGGACAGAGAAAGCGATTCTCGACCACTCTTCTTTCTGTGAATACAGCAACACCAACAACAACACATGTCCATGTTGGGTGGCAAAACAGGTGCCTGTGTAGCCCGCCCAACCCAACATGTGAGGGGTCCCCACAGACAGGATAGACATTTGAAAATTGAATTTTTAGTATGATATGATCGACGGTGCCCCATGGCCTTGACAACTCACCAGCCCAGCTGCCACAGCTGCAGCCAGCAGGGGCAGAGACAGAGACTTGGGCTTTACACACACAGTCAAGCTTTACAATGCCTGAAGGGAACGTTCAGCACTCCAATGATGGTGGTGAAGAGCCAAAAGAGAACGCTAGGCGGTGAGGTTCAAAATGGGTGTAGGTGTTTGAAATTTGAATTTGCGCCATCTCGTCTCGACACGGTGGTAACCTCTTCGATCATAAATGGTATGTAAGTGTCTGTGCTATGGTGTAGCGTCCACCACGCCGCCATGACCATAGTAGCGTCCCGGTGTGCTTGTACACTCAAATCGCCACGATAGGGCCTAGCTAAGAGCCAACATTGAGAGTTGAAAGGACAGGCGACTAGTCTACTGCTGTGGGATCCGTCTTCCTGCAGCAATTCTTCTCAGCTACAGCAGTACATAGATCAGACTGAAGATTTCCAGCTCTCGTAAACGATGGTGTGAGATGCGCACTGCTGTTGTATCATACGATAGTGTACAAAATCCTGCCGTGTCTGTTGGCCCCTGCATCCTCTCGTCCTTTCGTCTATCAATGTAGGTGTATCTTAACCTACATCGTGCCCGTTGCCCTCTCAACTCACGGTCTTGTCTGTACAGCAGTTGTATCGCGGTCATAGCAGGAGAGAGAAAAAGCAGAAGGCCTGTACGTACGACAGAGGTGCATCCGCATCCATGTCTAGACTAAATCGGTAATGACTACGTCTTCCCGGTGCTTCCCCCAAGCGGTCGGTTGACCAATGTCACCGTGCATCATACCGATTGAAAACACGAAGGACGCACTCGTCGCGTATCCCCCCGCCCCGCGCAATCCCCCCTGCCCCAACGCTTGCTCACCTCTGCACGGGTGCTAGCACAGCGTCAAACAGCAGTTCGAAGGTTGCCAACAAGTGGGTCGGCCACAGGAAGCCTGCTCTCGAGCTCAACACTTAACACGAGTCGACAACACGCACGGATCAGATCCCTTACACACGGCGCCATCCGTCCCGCACAACTCGATAATAGCCACGCCAAAGCTGCACCCCTGGACCTCCACCGCCCTCGATCACGCGACGCTGCTCCGTTACTCTTTTCGAACCCTTGCGCTCTCTCTCCGTGCGCACAGCTCGCCCACGGCCTGCTTCGGATCCGCCCTCATTTCCAGCAAGATCCCGCCGCGGTGTAGGGGACTCGACGGAGAGGGAGGCGTTATCCTAGGCATCGACGAGGCGGGAAGGGGGCCTGTGCTGGGCCCCATGACGTACGGAGCAGCGTACTGGAGCTGCGCCGACGACAAGGAGATGTCGGCCAAGGGTTTCGATGACTCGAAGGCGTTAACGTCGGACCAGAGGACGAGCCTCTTCGATCGAATTGATAGGGTGCGTCGTGTGACATTTGTGTAGTCGTGGGACATCGTTTTATCGCTGGAGTTCGTGGTCGCTTCCAGAACTCTGTTTACGTTGCAGTAAGATTGGCTGTGTTACTGCTGCCTACTGTAATAGGGTGTAGTATGTTGGGAATTGTGGCGGTAATGATGACACGATCGTGGTTTTCATGGACCTTGGTTCTCACTAATTGCAGTGCTTGTCAATGTCACCATGAGCGCAATGAATGCCCGTATGGGAAATTGGTTGGTATTTTCCGCACCCCGCCATTCGTGGTGTGTCGAAAAGTTTCTTTATGTTATTTC